GGTTTCTGAGGCTGACCAGGGGGGTCTGGAATTGCTGGTCTCTTGGTGTAATCGTCCAGTGGAGGAAGCTACCTGGGAATCCTATGAACTGTTGGCAGAACAATTTCCTGCATTCCACCTTGAGGACAAGGCGTTTTACCGGGAGGGAAGTATTGATAAAGGCCCAATTAAAGTATATGTGAGAAGAAGGAAACAGGCCACAGCTGCCGATATGGGCCAGCTGAATTCTGTTCTTGGGCTTAAGCTGGATCCACTCGGTCTAGAAGTTAGCGGTAATTTGAAAGAGTGGGGAGCAGTTACTATGCCTAATTAGTAGCAGGAAGATGAAAGGGTGAGGAGTTACTATGCCTAATTATTAGCGGGTAGATGAAAGGGTGAGGAGTTATTCCTCTGCCTACTTAATGTCGTGGGTTATTTAAAGCAGGCTTTTTACATTCGTTATTTTTCATCCTTGGTTTTCATTATCAAAGTATTGTGTAATTGGAGACATTGCCCCTCTCGAATCGGGCCGATTATTTCAGTTCCAATCAAAGTTGCCTGCTTGAATTTTAGATCTTATCATATATCCAAGCAGTTATTTTCGTTATTTCTTTCATCTCTAGATGTTTTTATCAAAAAGTTCCATTAAAATAGAATACTCGTTTGTTTATTGCTTTTTAGCTTGAAGCTTTGGAGTGCCTATCATCTTCACTCAGCATGTTCAGTGCTTCAAGTCAAGGAAGTGCATCAGATAATTCCGAAACTAAAATTCTGAATGAGAGACTGAAGCCATCTGCAAGTATTTCTTCCTCAAGCTGGATGTCAGGAGACGTGGCATTGCTTATGCTCTCACATGCCAAGTACAGTTTTGCATTGCAATACATTACAAATTTATTGATAGAACATCCAAGTTGGCCAGAAAACATCATAGCATCATCTCAAACATTTGGTTACTCACACCCTGAAATTCAGCAGTATAACACACTGCTATCAACTTTTGAAAGCAAGCTAAGCACAGGGCTTGTATATTTTGAGCAGAAGTATTCCTTGATTCGCCGCCATCTGATTAATATGGTATTCAGTTGTTAACTACTATGCTGGCATGTTTCGATTTACGGCGAGCAAAATGCTCACCTATTTTGTTTTTCTCAACAAGTTCATTGACCTATTTATATTTTCTTATTCAGATTAGTGCTTCTTTGTACAATTATGGCCTCGTGTTCATTGGTTGCCATATATTGCGACATGACACTTCTGAAGATATTTCACAAGGCGAGCCCTTTGCATTGAACGGAAATCCATCCTATCCTTCACTGCCAATGCTCCTTTTGAAGGCTATCGAAGATTTTACCTATTTATTCTCAAGGTATAACGTGGTTTGTAGGATGACTTGCTACGACACAGAAGCACACTTCATTCAGAAAACTGAGGTCGTTGGGAGTAGCTGGTGTTGGTTAAGCTCCTGCAGGTTTTATATGAAGGATCTCTTGCAGTTGGTGTCGAATATAAGAACTGGACTGAAATCTCTCTATGGTTCTTATGCTGAAAATGTTTTACAGACACCCTTATTTCTTCTTGATTTATGCGAGTATTACATATATTTCGCATCGGCTTGGTTCCAAAAGAATTCTAAAAGTCTTATTCTTGTTTTGAAACCTATTTTGCTTACATATTCCAATGAATCTGTATCATTTGAGACTAACATGAAAACTCTGAATAAGATCCTTCCTGAAATAGCTGAGGGGCTGAGTCACAATGACATGATCATGGATTTTGAATCTTCTATTCAGACCACCAGATTAACAGTCAATGATCAAAGTGGACATGTTCTGCCGGAAAAGGATAAATGGCAAATTATACGGGATTCTTTGTGGGGACTCTTGTCTAGATTTCTGAAATACCAAATTGATTCATTGCCTGAGAACCTTGAAGATAATTCCTCTGTTTGTCCTCCATGCAAGCTTTCTTCCTACATGTCTAGTTTTACATTACCTGATCATGATAATGATAGCATAAAGGCACAATTGCAGTTAGTGTCAGTGGTCTTGTCGAAGTTGCTGAAGGTGGAATCAGATTATGCCTTATCTTATTGTGCAAAACAGCTTGCATCATTCTTGCTGCAGAAAGGGAGGGATCATTCAAATGAATCTACAATTTTTTGGTTAGAAGATCTATGCAGGTCTACGACTGTAACCAATTATCGGGGTCTTGATCTGGGCATTGATGTTTCTAAAATAATGAATAATGAAGACGGATTATCAGCTTTTGAAGTACTATGGAGTATGCTTGATGATCAGAAAATGCTATTAGGAGATTTTGCAGTGGAATATTCCAAGTGGTCTCAGCTTATTAAGCAGAAACACTCTAAAGGATGGAGTGATATGTTTACAAGCATCACAGTGGAGTATGAAGCTTCTGAAAATGGTAATCAAGAAGGGAGGCTTGATACAGCCCTTTCTGCAAATTCAATTGTATATCCTATTGACGTCAGGTCTCCTGATATCCTTTCTGTAAATTTTGGAAGTAAAGATTCAGCCATAAAAATGAGACACATGCCTTTCCAGAAACCTAAAGAAGTACATAAAATAAATGGAGAACTGCTTGAGGTAACTATTTTACTTCTATACTGAAATTTGGTCCAAGTTACATAATTCATGATTACTATGTTCTATATGCTTGGGCAGGCTTTGTGCATCAATTCCATTGATCAACAACAAGCTGCAATCGCTAGCAATAAAAAGGTCCGTACGTTGCTTGATTTTAGCTCTTGTCTGAAGTATTAATGCTAGGTGATCTGAGAAAAACATAATATTTTCTTTGAATTGATAAGGAATGTGTAATAAAGACTCTTTTAGAAGATAGTTGTACAAAAAGAAACCAGGGAGCCTAGTATTGAGGCCTTGACAAAGCTAGGATAGTTTGGCTTTATATATAGCATGATAATCAGTTTGTATCTCTTATTATATTACTCTTTGTGGTCATAAGTCAAACAATTGCTTTCTATGATTCAGGGGATAATCTTCTTTAACCGCAAAGATGGGCAAACTTGCTTTGATAAGTCCAAATATATCTGGACAGATGTTGATTGGCCCATTGATGGGTGGGCTGGATCTGAATCTATTCCTGTTCCTACATGTGTTTCTCCTGGCATTGGTCTTGGAAGCCGGAAGGGGACGCACCTTGGTTTGGGAGGAGCAACAATCGGTGTTGGTTTGGCAAGACCAGGAAGAGAGTCCACTGCTGCTGTAAGCACTTCTCTTGGTTGGGAGATTCAAGAAGATTTTGAGGAGTTCATTGATCCACCTGCAACTGTAGATAATATTAGAACAAGAGCATTCTCAAGTCACCCTTCAAGACCTTTCTTCTTGGTTGGTTCAAGCAATACACATGTATACCTATGGGAGGTACACATCCTGTTAGTGACTCTTATTTATACTTGTTATTCCAACTTCAGTATACAAAATTACAAAGCTTAGGCCATCTAGTACAAAAACCATTATGGCCCACCTTCTAAAATCAAAAAGTTATAAATGAATCTATCCTATTTATCGACGGTTATGATCTTGGTAGGAATAGATGTGGCTTGTAGATATTAATTAAAGCAAGTCATAGTGACCATCAAGCATACCATTTTTTTTCTTTTTGAAAGAGAGAATGCCATTATGAGGAGAGAGAATGTGCATTACCCACATGTTTTTTCTATAAAAAGGAAGTGTTGCAAGCTTGGTGGTAAAGTTGATGGTAGATATAGATTTGTTATATTGATTAACATATATGGACAGGAAGGAAGTCGTAATCTACTTAATCATATATGGCTTGGGTAGGAGCAAAACCCATGGGATTGTACACTTGGACCTGAAATATACATATTTTTATGGGCACGCTAGTTAGCTTCAGAAAATTCTTATTAAGAAAGATGCATGCTGTGCTTTGCTATAGAAGGATCATACTTGCAGCTCGAATCATCAGAATTATGTTTGTAATAACATGTTAATGTTCAGATAATGCAAGATGGACACTAAAAGAAAACTGAGAAATCTTACCGTACTAATGATTCATTAGATATTAGAAAAAAGACTAAGAGTTAGAATTAATACCCTGTGGTGACATGGTATGGTACAGTTCGGTAAACATGCAGCTACAGCTACATATGGAGTCCTTCCTGCTGCAAATGTTCCTCCACCATATGCTCTTGCTTCAATATCAGCTCTGCAGTTTGATCATTGTGGACAGAGGTTTGCTACTGCCGCATTAGATGGAACAGTGTGCACGTGGCAACTTGAGGTGGGTGGAAGGAGCAATGTTCGTCCAACGGAATCATCTCTCTGCTTTAACAACTATACATCGTACATACTCATTACTTGATGACTATATTAGATTCTTTTACAGTTTCTCTTTCACTTTTTTTAACGATTCCTCTTTGTTGATGGTTGAAACTACTTTTAGTTGTTAATTGGGAATAGAAAATCTATGGCAACCACCAAAAATATCCCACCAAATTCACCATTTTCTATAGGATAAACTCTAATAACTGGATTTTTTCTTCAAGAAAGGAAAATTTATCAGTTTAATGGTTGCCATAGATTTATTCAATTGGATATGGGAGCTATCACATTGGCAAAACTAAAAGGTTCAATTTATTGCATTTCCTGAGATTTCCTTTCTGTCCTAGCTGATTCCTCAATTCTTTGTTATAAACATATAGAAATTTGCTAGATCAGAAAGGAATTCCATATGCACACATTAAATGCATTACGCTTCTGAGCCGAGGTTGTATGTAGCTTTCACCTCCTTCCTACTATTACAATGTAGCATTAGTCTCTCGGACTATAAATATGTTTTAAACCTTTAGAAGCTGGATTTATCACGTCAACTTGTTTTTGCAGGGATGTGACCTATGTTTCTTCAAGTGGATCAATTGTTGCTGCAGTAGGTTATAGCTCCAGCAATGTTAATGTTGTTATATGGGATACACTTGCTCCTCCCGCAACATCTCGAGCTTCCATCATGTGTCATGAAGGTTTTTTCCCTATTGAAACACTATCTTTTGGTGGTACTTGCTAGGGTGCTGTTTTTATAGGACCCAGAAGTTTTTGAAGTTCACTGTTCTTGGACTTTTAGTAATTACTCCTTCAGTCCGACATAAAGAGTCATCTTAACAAGTATTGTTTTGGTCTTGATAAGCATTGATTTGGTCGTGGGAGAGATTATAGTTACGTTAAACTCTATCAAAAGATATAACTATATGGAGCTGAAGTAATTAAAAACATTTACCCTATCTGAATCTGGAACAAGCCACTTGAATTTCCAAATCAAAAGGGAACTCGACTTGTTTGACAGAATGTATAATAATTGTTTAAAACTCATGCTAGGATTCTTCTAACTGTTTCTGAAGTATAACTTATGCCTGCTTAGGAATTATTTGTTGTTTTTGGCCATTTTGAGTGATAGCCAATGCAAGTTGTTGAAGGCTATCGACTTTATTCCCTTTTGATTGCTGAATTGGACTTATATATAACGTGTCAATGCATAATGCTAATTTTAGCCTCTTTTCCAGATCTAACATAGAAGCAGCCAACTTTAAAGCTAAAAAAAACATTAGTAACTTGCAACAATATAAAACTTTTACCCGGTTCATAGATCTAAAATTTGCTGTTACTTGGTTCGAGCCATGGTGATTGCATGATTTATATATTAGCTTCAATTGTTTGGTTGTAGGTGGTGCGCGCTCCCTTTCTGTATTTGCTAATGACATAGGAAGTGGTTCTGTTTCTCCCCTTATTGTGACCGGTGGAAAGGGGGGCGATGTTGGAGTCCATGATTTCCGTTACATAGCCACTGGAAGACCAAAGAGACACAAAAATTCTGATAACAGCGAACAAAAGTTCAATGCATCTTCAACAGCAGGCTTGCAAAACAAACATGGGGATCAGAATCGAAATGGGATGCTGTGGTACATACCAAAGGCTCATTCAGGTACTAAAATCATACTATACTATGTGAATGATAGCCTTTTAAGTTCTAACCCCCTTCCATTTGTAGGGAGTGTTACCCGAATATCGGCTATTCCAAATACCAGTTTTTTCTTGACTGGAAGCAAAGATGGAGACGTGAAGCTTTGGGATGCTAAGAGGGCAAAGTTGGTATATCACTGGCCAAAATTGCACGATAAACACACCTTTCTTCAACCTAGCTCACGAGGCTTCGGAGGAGTTGTTAGGGTATCATTTTTACCCTTTTACTTCAAATCCTTTTGTTGTACATATGCAGTTGAATCTTTCGGTGAGTGGAGGGGGAATTCATGGAAACAACAAATCTACCCCTTGGGGTAGAGGTGTATACATCCTACCCCTCTATGGACCCTACCTCTGTATGGGATATATTGGGCTCGTTTGATTTGGGTATGGTTTATACAAGTGAATCTTTGACGAAATTCAAAACGTTGCAGGCTGCTGTGACGGATATTCAAGTCGTTTCTAATGGTTTTCTTTCATGTGGGGGAGATGGTTCTGTTAAGTTGGTTCAGCTTAGAGATATATAGTATGACCAGTTGTTCCATCTGTTCATGTCGTGTTCATCACCGACTTCACCATCGTTCTTCGTGGTATCTTTCCATTTTCAACCCGGATCCGTACTTCTTTAGCATGTATATATATAGGGTAAATCAACTTCCATCACAATTTTCACAATAGTTTATTCACCGATACGAGATTTTGTGTAAGGTATATGAACAAACTGTTAGAATCGTAAAATCAGATCGAATTGCTGAGTTGGTTCGGTTTCGGTATAATGTAGTTTGCTCTTTGTTGGAAACATTTTATTACCAATTCTTGTATTTTTTTTTTTCCTGTAACTGTGGGTTTGTGAGGCAATACCTTACAAAGAAAATTTTGTTAACTGATTTTGTTTTTAGTACTTTTGAAATTCTTCATTTTCTCCTTTCATTAGTATGCACTTGCATTGCCTTCACTGTCATTCATTTCCGAGGCTGTATGCGATTGTGAATAAATCACTATATTCACCGTTTTTCATTTTCTAGGCTTCATATTGATTGTCTTTCACTTATGCATATGTGAATATGTCGTGGTTTTTATTATTTTCATTTTATGGGTTGCAGGCACATATGAATGAAACCTATGGAAAAAAGTAATTGAATACTGTTACATATTCACTGTGTGCATAAAAACCCATAAATAGTATTTGAATACTGTTACACATGCACATATGCATAGAATTCAAAAACACAAATTTCAATAGATGAATGATTGAATCCAACACCAATTTACTCTTATAGCTCCTGAAGCGTACTCATAAACCCATCCGAAATACACTTAAAAACCTCATTTAAGGTTTCGAACCGGAGATGGCAATGTGGACGGGGTATCGTGGATAACTACCTCCAACCCCATCAGCGTTGAAGAACAAGGATCCCATATGGGAATCGGGGATTTTTTTTTCCGTCAATACAATTTAATTTTTTACATAATGTTTTTGTGTTATATATATATATATATATATATATATGCAAATTTTACGTTTAAATGAGATATAATCCTAAAATAATAATTACCCATATTTTAAGTGTTGCATTTGTAAAAGGATAACATGAAAAAGATAGTTCAAACACAAATATATCAATTAAGACACTTAATAATTGAACTTTTATATAATCACGTCCTTATATCAATAGAAGTTTCCATGAACAATTAAATGAATAATGTAATTCTTTTACAAGTTTTTATCATATATAATAGATTGATTATATTTATTTATTACCTATACTCATTTGGTTTCTCACTATGTTATTATACTTAGGTGACGTTTGTTTTTGAAGAGATTCTGAAGTTTAAAGTCTGATTTCACTTTTGATTTATAAGAGGTGGTGCTGAAGTCTGAAATCTGAATCATTCACACTGTTTGTTTTTATGTTTGAAGTCTGAAATCTAAATCAGTCAGACTGCTTACCTGACAAACGTCTGAATCAATAACCCTAATTCAGAATCTTGAACACACACAATGCTCTGAGCCATATCTATACTATCTTATTAAACAAATTTAACAAAAGTCTTAAAGTCTTAAAATACTAAAGGACCAAAATACCCTTTATACTACCCTGAGGTCACTTTTTTACTTCTTCCTCTCCTCACATACACTCACCCTCTCACAACCGATTTTTTTTAAAATTATAATTTTAAATTGACACTTTATACCCCCATAATTAATTAATTAATTTACTTTACGTCTTTTACTTTTAAATGTTTTATTTTAAACCTTTATCAAATTAACATACATAATCGTATATCAATTAA